GCTGCGCTGTGATTGGTTGCTTTGGGACAAGGCTGCGCTGTGATTGGCTGCAGTTTGAAGCTGGGGTGCGGGTTGATCCGTTGTGTCTGGTTTTGTTTCAGGAAGCCTTCGTTCCGTCAGAGGAGCACGTGTTGGCGGTGCGCCTCCTCGTCAAACATCTGCACGCCTTCTCCAACAGCTTGAAGCCCGAGCAGCTGTCTTCATCATCTTCACCTTCAGCTCACACACACACCAGCCCGCTTGAGGAGTTCAAGAGGTCAGGCTCAACACACACACCTGTCTCACACACACCTGTCCAGGGGCTGCAGGTTTTGACTCTTTTGGAGACTTTTCCCTCCTCGTTGTTTACATCACGACAGATTGTTGGCACTTTTAAACCAGTTCAAACTTTTAGGTAGAAATCAGGATTTAAAGACTTCAGGTTCAACTAAAGAACATGATGTTCAGCGGAGGGTTCCACTAATCGCAGAGGTAACTTTCCATGTAGCACATTAGAGTTTTGGTTAACTTTGAAAACCTTTAGCAGAATTAGCTTCCGCTGAATTTAAATCCGGTAAATTTAAATCCACTTATATTCTTGAAAGGCAGTTCTCTGCATTAACATCATACAGGACAACGGTGGTTTGCACAGAGCGATGATGATATGCTATGCAGAGCTAAGCAAAGCTAAGCTCCACCAGCTGATGATGTCACCCCCTCGCAGTGCTTTTCTCCTCATATCTACCACAAACAGTCTCTGACTCATGGTGTCAGTTTGCAGCCAAAAACAGACTTTAACAGAAATGAAACCAAACCAGAACAGGAAAATGACATGAAAAACACATTTTCACACTCGGAAACTTCGTAAACAGTCAGAAACACATAATTCCTACCCATCATGCTTTGCAACGCTCTCTGGGACGTGACTCTCTCACAGATTTCACACATCTTTACTTTAATAAAAACAGATTTATTACAGAGAGAATATTGATGATGACACACAGCAACTTTGTAGTTAGTTTATAAAAGTAATAAACAAAAGTGAGTTAATTCTTAAAGTAAATGACACGAGGGAGACGTCCGACAGACATTGAATGCATCAATCTGCTTCAGCACAGCCGAGTTCTGCTCCGCCTCTTTGGTTCTGATGGACCGGATTAATTCTGAAAGCTCACCTCTGAACGGGACATAAACGCTGTGATTTATGAACCGTTTCGAGTTCTTTAAAGACCCGGTCCAAATCTGCTCCTCTTCACGTCTGAAGTCGCTCCAGCAGGTTTCAGTGGGACTCCCACCAGTTCTAGACCACCTTCAGGTCCCAGAGTCCAATTCAGTAAAACCTTCAGACCATTTAATTTAATCCCACAGATTATTGATTCTTCTTCAGTTAATCTGCAGCCATTTTCTCTCGGATCAGTCTGGAATCTTTCCTTCCTGGCTCGGACTCTGAAGGTCCAGCAGAGTCCAGGAGCAGGACCAGCGGTTCCTGGTCTTTAACGTGCCGTGTGTTTGTCCTGCAGAGTGGTGGTGCAGCGGTTTGTGCAGCAGAACCTCTACCTGTTCCTGCAGCACTGCTTCGGACACTGGCCGTTAGACGCCTCCTTCAGAGCCGTGAGTTTTGGACCCGATCAGAACCTGCAGGCGGTTCAGTCCGTTCCATCTCAAAGTTTTGCAGCAGATAGAACCGGATCAGGACTCTGACAGAACCGACCGTTCTGTGTTCAGGTGTTGGAGACGTGGCTCAGCTACATTCAGCCCTGGAGGTACACGGGACAGAAGAGCAACCCCCAACCGGATCAGAACCGAACGGTTCCAGACAAATGGTGAGTCCTCGTGTGCGACCCGCTCCGCTGGTCAGTTAGAACCGTTCTGACAAACGGATCGGACCTTCCCCCGCAGGGAGCCGTTCGCCCACGAGAACCTGCTCTTCTACACCAAGCTGTTCCAGGGCTTTCTGAACCGGGCCGTGAAAACGGACCTGGTCAACGTGAAGAACGCCCTGATGGTGTTCAGGGTGGCCAAAGTGTTCGCTCAGCCCAACCTGGCAGAGATGATCCAGAAAGGTCAGGGTTCTGGTTCTGGTTCTGGTCTGAAGCGGGTTTGGACTTGGTTCTACGGTTCTTTTTGTCTCCCTGCAGGTGAGCAGATGTTCCTGGAACCAGAACACGTCCTCCACCACCGACAGCCCCGCGGCTACCTGACGCCGAGCCAGGGGGGCAGCTTCCTGTCGTCACGGCAACGGGCGTTGACGGACGCCGTGTTCCGGGTGAAAAGTCACGTGTACTCCCTGGAGGGACCCGACTGTCAGTACAAACAGATGTTCGGTTCTGAGCTCCGAGGAGCGGTGAGTACCAGAACACATAGGTTCTGTTCGGCCCGTTCGGAGCTCTAGGTTCACGGTTCTGTCTGCAGGTCCTGAACTTGGTCCAGATCATCGCGCAGGCCCGGCAGACGGCCAAGAGGATATCGGACCAGGCCAGCGAGGCGGCGTCCAACACGTCCTTCCTGTCCTGGTTCTGGCTCGGCCCGACTGATCTCAACAACACGGTCACCGGCGCCGAGGACAGTGGAGAGTGTCTGAGGAAGACCCACGAGTTCCTGGACCGAGCCCTGGAGAATCTGAGTCTAATCTTTAAGGTCCGATTTATTCTGGTCCGCCCCAGGAACCAGAACTTCAGAATCTGAACGTGTGTTCTGGTTGCAGCTGAACCAGGGCCAGCTGGTCCAGCTCATGTCCTCCCTGAGCTCCTCTCAGGACGACGGGCTGTCCAAGCAGCTGCCGGACTGTGTCCAGGGTGAGAACGGGCCGGTTCTGACGGACCTGGGCAGGAGACAGGTGGGTGTTTGACCCGGCGGGACCAGGACTCGCGTCTGTGATCTGACTCCGCCCACGTTTGTGTCTCGACAGATCATCAACGGGCTGCGCAGGTTTGACATCCGGTACCAGGGAGACCCGGAGCTGCAGCCGATCCGGAGCTACGAGAACACCCTGCTGGTCCGGTTCCTCTTCAGGGTCTCTTCTCTGGTCAATGACCGCGTGAGTCCCCTCGCCGTTCAGTCCCAGTTCGGGTCTGGTTCTTTAGATCTCCTTCCAGACAGCCGGACTTTCTGAATAATGTTTTTTAGTCACACAGGTAAATATCTTACCTGTTGTAGATGGATCTTTGAACGAACAAAGAGCTCCATCTACAACAGGTAAGATATTTACCTTTTACAAAGAAACTCTTTAGAATGGCGGAACCGTTTCTTTAACTGACCTGATGCGAGTGGACTCAGAACAAAGTTCTGGTTCTTTGAGTCCCAGAAGTCTGGATCTTTCAACTTGTTCCCCTTTGCATCCTTCAGCTCGGGGGTCACATGACCTCCCTCTGCTCGCGCTCAGACTTCCTGGGTCGGCTCAGTCGGTACTACCTGACGGACCCGGACTCCTGGGCGAAGGTGAGGCGGAGCCCGATGTCCCGGCAGAGCGTGGAGCGGAGCCGCAGGCCGAGGCTGAGCCTGCGGCCCCTGGCCAGCTACAGGACGCTCCTCCTGCTGCTCCTCTTCTACGGCCTGGGGGCCCTGCTGTCCTTCGGACCCGTCTCCAGCACCGCGCTGCTCATGGTGGGGGCGGTTCTGTACGGAGTCCTGATGACCCTGTTTGGAGACAAACTGAAGACACAATGAGACAAACGTGTCCCGCTGCACAGGACTGAGACGGATCTTTTCTCAGTCTGGTTTGATAAAAAACTGGTTCTGCTGCAGGTATCAGGTGTTTGGACCGGTTCTGGACCGGCCTGGTCCTTCTTGTAAATACGTTTTTGTATTTTTCCGTTTAAATGAGCACAGAAGGAATAAAGTATTTTTCTGAAAGCAGAAAATTCAAAGTTTTATTTTCTTCCTGCAGACGGTTTATTCTATAAAACGTTAAACTGCGACGACCTTTACTGTCGTAGTTCCTGTTAGCAAAATATCTCACCACCCTCCCTGAAAGCCACTGGATCGAACGAGTCAAACCTTTGTTCAGCTGATGGCGGGATGAACGAGACGCATGGCTTCAGCGCGTGCGCACAGTTTGAGGCGTTGAAGCCAAAAGAAAAGCAACGTGTTCGTCGTGCGTTCAGACGGGGACGACTGGACTCGATCTGCTGAAGCTGGTCAGGCCGCTGCAGCTCGTGGAGCTGCTGAGGTGAGAAATTAGCCCGGTCCATGTCGGACCCAACAGGACCCTCAGAGGCTGGTCCGCTCCAAGGACAGAGCCCCCAAACCCAGTGTGGGTCTGCAGTTCATCCTTCAGCCGAATGTTCACGGATGATTAAATATCAAAAGATCAAAGGTTCTGTTTGTGTTTGGATGAGGTCATAATCTGAGCAACGACTTCGAGGGGATGAAGTTTCATCCTGTTGTCATGATGAAGGTGCAGAGGAAGTACCTCCTCTTCATCATCTGGGCTGTGATGAGGGACTTCATCATCTGGGCTGTGATGAGGGACACGTCTGGTCCATTCCTCACCACGAGCTGCACCAGTTCAGTTCATCTCGGCACCGAACAAACATTAAAAAACAAGTTATTTATCTGAGGAGCAAGATTATGAAAATAAGTCATTTAAATAAGATTATGGTTTATATTTCAGCTGATTCTGGTTTAATTTGAGCCGGGTGAGTTGGCACTGTTCCATCAGGGTTTGTGGGGAACAGGTGTGGAGGACTACATCTGCTTCCTGGACTGGTTTCTACACTGGAATGTTGGTTGTCAATAATCTGGACGTCCAACTGAATCAGCTGTTTTTAGGAGCTGCTCCCTTCAAAGTGGGATGGATCATCCCAGGAGGAACCTTCACGCGTGGTTCGATTGCGTGGCCACGTGCACAGGAACTTCTCTGCGGGGCACGAACCGTACGGCAGTTTGCAGTTCCAGCAGGAGAACGTGGCTGCAATAAATGCTCAACAGATGTTTCATCAGGTTAATGTTGCTGAAACTGAGACTTCCGTTTTTCTGTGGTGGCCTGAAGGCAACGAGTCCAGAAGAGACGACCAGCTTGGAGCCTCATCTCCTAGTTGTGCACGTTACTCAGAAGATAAAACGTTATTTCCCAAATGACGGTGAAGCAGAACGTCTGTGGATCTTCAGAAAGAGAAGATCTTGAACGGGTCACAGCTCACCTCTCCCTCAGATGAAGGTTTGCATGTGGTCTCCAGAGCAACGAAGAGCCAGATGTAAAACCTGGACTTGGATAAGACCCTTCCCACAGAGCTGCTGGTCTGGAGTCCAAGTGATCCTTGGGTTGAGGACGTTGAAGAAAGAGCTTCGTGTTCTTTTCTCACTCCAGAGTTTGGTCTTTAGGTTTTGTTGCAGCGGTTCTTACCTGGAAACATTTCCTTCAGTCTTCAGGGAACAGATCTCAAACCTGCCTTCAGGTCTGAGCTCAGGTGTAGTTCGGCTCGTGTCCACGTGGGGGCGGTGTTGCTCCGAGGAGGAGACTGCAGCTCTGGGAGGTTTGGTGTCGCCCGCCAGCGGCTCCTAACAGTGACTTTAAAACCTGATCCTTGTGTTTCTTGAAGTGTCCTTAAAACCATCTGGTTAAAACTGCAGAGTTCAGAGCAGGAGCTACAGTCTGGTGTGGTGGTAGCCGAGAGTCGTCCCTAACGCGCTCTCTGAGTCACATCAGATCAACGGTTTATTTTCAGGGTTTGATGAAACTCTTCCTTTTCTCAACGAGCCTAAAGTTTTAGCCTAAACGTTTGAAGCGACATGCTTAAAAAAAAAATCACATTTAAATAGTTTTTATGTCAGAACTTTGTTTTCTTCATCAGATCTCAGCAACACGACACATTTGTGTGAAGATAAAGTTCAAACTTGTGCAGGTGCTGGTCATAAAATTAGAACATCATGAAAAAGTTGATTTATTTCAGTAGTTCTGTTCAGAAAGTGAAACTTGTATATTTATTCATTACACACAGACTGATATTTCAAATGTTTATTTCTTTTAATGTTGATGATTAAAACTGACAACTAATGAAAACACCAAATTCAGTATCTCAGAATATTACTTAAGACCAATTTAAAAAATATATATTTTTCGAAACGTTGGCCAACTGAAAAGTATGAACATGTTCAGCATCAATACTTAGTTGTTGCTCCTTTTGTCTGGATCACTGCAGCGACGCGTTGTGTCATGGAGTGGATCAGTCTGTGTCTCTGCTCAGGTGTTCTGAGAGCCCAGGTGGCTCTGATCGTGGTCTTCAGCTCTTCTCAGTTGTTGGGTTTGGTGTATCACATCTTCCTCTGCTGGCCAATTAAGAACACGGACACCATGGTCCTTAAACCAGGTACTGGTAGCTTTGGCACTGTGCAGGTGCCAAGTCCTGTTGGAAAATGAAATCTGCATCTCCATAAAGTTGGTCAGCAGCAGGAAGTCTCTAAAACTTCCTGGTAGATGCTGCGTTGACCTTGGACCTCAGAAAACACAGTGGACCAACACCAGCAGACAACATGGCCCCAAACCATCACTGACTGTGGAAACTTGACACTGGACCTCAAGCAACGTGGATTCTGTGCCTCTCTTCTCTTCCTCCAGACTCTGGGACCTTGATTTCCAAATGCCAAATTTACTTCCATCAGAGAACAGAACTTTGGACCACTCAGCAGCAGTCCCAGGTGATACACTTCTGAGGCAGTCTCTTGTTCAAGAGTGATTTGACACAAAGAATGCGACAGCTGAAACCCTTGTCTTGCATACGTCTGAGCGTGGTGGTTCTTGAAGCACTGACTCCAGCTGCAGTCCACTCTTTGTGAATCTCCCCCACATTTTGGGATGGGTTTTGTTTCACCATCCTCTCCAGGGTGCGGTCATCTCTATTACATGTACACTTGTTTCTACCACACAGTTTCCTTCCCTTCTCCTCTCTATTAATGTGCTTGGACACAGAGCTCTATGAACAGCCAGCCTCTTTAGCAATGACCTCATGTGTCTTGTCCTTGTGCAAGGTGTCAATGGTCGTCTTTTGGACAACTGTCCAGTCAGCAGTCTTCCACATGATTGTGTAGCTACAGAACTAGACTGAGACCATTTAAAGGTCTTTGCAGGTGTTTTCAGTTAATTAGCTGATTAGAGTGTGACACCAGGCGTCTTCAATATTGAACCTTTTCACAATATTCTACTTTTCTGAGATACTGAATTTGGGGTTTTCATTAGTTGTCAGTTTTAATCATCAACATTAAAAGAAATAAACATTTGAAATATATCAGTCTGTGTGTAATGAATGAATATAATATACAAGTTTAACTTTTTGAATGGAATTACTGAAATAAATCAACTTTTTCATGATTTTCTAATTTTATGACCAGCACCTGTATTTCCTGCAGGTCAGTGAATGCAGCATGATTTCAAGTTTTTATAAACCCGACACGTTTAGGCTGAAATACTGAACTCTGATCCAGATCACCTCAAAACCAGACTGAGGCCTAAATGTGTCTGCAGACGACACCAGAACCTCTGAGACCCAGAGAAGAAGAACAGATGAACACAAATAATTTCAAATTTCAATGGCTTTATTTTCTGTATATAGATTTGTATATATTTATATATATATTATATATATTTCTGTAACAACTTGTACTCAGTTGCTTGATTATCATCTTTTGTTCAAACGACAGACACAAAGACCGGAGCATTCCACACCATCGGATCTTACAAAAGAGAAGAAAACAAGCTGAGTGTGTGTGTGTGTGTGTGTGTGAGAGAGAGAGAGACACACTCCTACAGACATCAGTGAACACGAGGCGTGCTTCTACACAAACTGAGGAGGAAGATGATGGACGGGACGATTCTGTTGCATAGATCGAAGCAAACAGGAGGACAGAACAACGGACGGATGGACAGAGGACACACACACACACTGAGGACACACAGACAAACAAACACACACACACACTGAGGACACACACAAACATCTTGTTTCACCTTCATCAAGTTCAGACTCTGAAACACTGAAGTCTCTGCAGGCCCAGGCCCGGTTGTGTCTGTGAGGGGCCCAGGCCCGGTTCTGTC